GTGTAATGAGCTAATGCCAATTTTTGCTTCGAATACTCGATTAGTATGCGTAAATTGTTCAGGGACGAGGTAAGATCATTGACACATTTGTAGCTGTCATTTACCCGGATGACTTGTTCCTTTTCGTTACACGTATTTCGTGAAATCTTTTTCTACTTTATTAGTAAGTGTTAAGCGATATCAATTAAGATTTATTCGTGGAATAAATCGATTAGATTATTATATCGATAACGTGGATTCAACAATTCTTTTCCTCCAATAAATTAATTTATATTTCTTACGTTTATTTTCTTTTATAATAAATATGTTAAAATTATCGTATATAAAAATATCCAAGCAAGTTGTTTAAATAAATACGTACATATTAAATATAAAAAAATTGCAAACTTTTTTCAATCAATGTTTGTTTCATCTTAATCAAAGGAACGATTTTACGAGCAATTTTTTCTTTTTTTTTTAATTCCCCTGAAATCGTTACAAATATATCTTTCTGCTGCAAGCATTTCGCAATTTCACTTTTATCACTTGATTGAAGAAAATACAAGGTACATGCTCGAACCTATTAAATTCATAACCTTCTTTTCATTTTTGTTACGAGAAAAAGAAAAAGAAGAAAGTTTCATTTCTATCGAAGGGAGGGGAAACACAGTTTTCAATAGCTGCATGTGGTAAAAGAATTTTTCTACATTGTGGGGAGAGAAGGGAGGGGAGGAATATGATGTAAATTCGTTTGATAGAGGATATTGGTTAAGAATAAATGGAACGTGTCGTCGCTTCCGAGCCCTATGAACGTTATTGAACCGGTTCGACGCGCTCATCCTTGATCCGCATCGTCGTTCTTGCGTAACGTCCAAATCCAAGCTAATCTTGAGGTTCATACAGGTGTAAGATGTCGATCGAAGGTCAAAGTGGGGTTTCAGAAATTTAATTTGACCTGATATCGATCACCTCGCTCCTTTTTACCGATTAAATACGCATAATACGTGTGTGTAAAATATAAGTAACAACCACTTGCTGCTTTTCAATTCTTTTTTTTTTTCTTGCAAATATACTCAATATGTGTATACTTAATAATTTCTCGTTGTATTGTGCTTTATTATATCATTATACCATTATAGTTTATTTATATAAAATATTATTATTAATTATAATATTTATTCTTGTGTACTTTAAATATTCGTTATTTTATTTAATAAATGATCAGTTAGAATAAAGTTTGAATGATGTTTCTTAATAATTTTAAAAGAATTTTTTTCTTAGCAATCGTGATAATATGATCAGATTCACAATGAAAGATTGAAAGTCATTTAACAATGAAAGATTGTTAAAAATTTGGATTATATTTTGTTGTTGTATAATAATGTGATTTACCAATTGTCAGGCTGATCACAGATTAATTATTAGCTTTTTCATCACACTATGGAATAACCAGTATTATTTCATTAATTCTTCTTTTAATTCCCGTCAATTTATGCTTTCGTCATGGATTATACACGGATTGAAACGATTACTGCTTTACAATTTAGTTGTATATACGGTTCTCTCTTTCAACGAGAAGTAAGTGAAATGTCAACGCGATAATCCTGATTTATAAAACGAATCTTGTATTGAGCGTGGTGAAATTCTTTTAACATAAGCTGGATTCAAAACTAAAAAAAAAAAAAAAGAAAAATCAACCAATTTGATAAATTTCATAGATGCGCGTTTCTATGTATTTTTTAGCTCAACAAATTAAAGTTGCATAGGTTATATGAAATTCATGGTTTAGAAAAAAGAAATTATCGATAAAATTTTTTTTGTTGAAATATCGACGAAAATAATAAAATATTTATGTGTTATACTTTTTTATCGTATTTGGAAATTTAAAGCTTAAGCCATGAGATAAAAATCCCAAAATCCCTCTTTTTTATTGTCCTTTTTTTGAAAAAATTATAAAGCATCGTTCGTAAAAAGATTCCTCTAAAATAAATTCTTGATTTTTCATTTTTTCAATTTCTTTTGTCAATATCAAAATTGGATAAGCTTTTATTGTTAAGATTCCTTCCTAAGCTGCATAAATATGCATTTTTTTGCTGTAAAATATTTATGTTACCCGCGGTGAAGGACGATACCTTCGTTCGATAAAATGGTAGAACATCGTCGAATAGAAACGTAGCCTTACATTCGTCATTTTATCAGAGTATGGGATTTTATACGGGACGTTGCTTGCTACATATGTGGGTCAGTACGTAGAGAATGAGAGTTTGATGTATGAACCGTGTGTCAGAAATAGACGTGTTGCTCCAGAGAAGATAGATATTCTCTCAAACGACAGATATTCTTTTTTAACAATCGAAAAAAAAAAAAAAGAAAAGAAAAGCAACGGAGGTGAAAACGATATTTTCTCATATTATAAAATCTCTGTCTATATATCCTGGGACATGTTTGATAATCGAAATACAATTGTTAATTGTCGATATAGCTTGATTGTTTCGATCTACATGGTTGCAATGGAAGTGACGAGTTTTTCGATGACCCTGCAACCTCTCAACTTCTCAACTCTTGATTTTTTCTCTTTTATACAGTTGACTATCGTTTAAGGTTTCAAGAGAGCTCGATAGTATTCTGTGAAATTGTTTCTATTGTCTTTTCTGTTGTTCATGAATTTATTTTGTCTGATGATAATATTTTAAAATATAAAAATTAACTTTGTTCGATTAATTTTTGTGTTATAAAAAGTTTTCTTAATATGTATCATTTTCTGTATCTATTTTAGTTTTAGAAACTACATACTTTTGTACGTGTCTGTGTCAATTATTCGTGATATAATGGCTTAACAAACACTTAATGTGTATCTTCCTCTTGTGCACTAAATGTATGGATTTTACTATTTTAAACGTTTAAAAAAATATTGTTGATATTTCTTATAAAGAGTAAAGTGACATATCAACATTTGTTAAAATCGTTTTAAAAAAGAGTCTGAAAGAAATATTTTTACATTTATTAATAATAGTATATCAGGTAAAAATATTTGATAGTATAATTAATATATACACAACATTTTTAGAATATAACAGAAGATATAATTCATTTTAAATGTATTTATATATTGGTAAATTCTTTTCATAACAAAATTAATTATAAATATATTTGTATTTAAATTTATTAAATGTAATGCAATTAAATGTTTGATTTAAGAAAATATTTTTTATATTTGAAATATTAATGGAAAGAAATAGAAATTAAAACAATTCTTCCATTTTAAATTTACAATAAATTGGTTAATATAATTTATACAATTATATGTACTTTAAATGATTTTCAAATCTTTTAATGCATGTCCTTTTTAAACAAAAAGATTATAAGATAAAAATTACATCTCACAAAGTTGGTTATTTTAATTAATATTATCATAAATATGATATGAACAAAATGAAGATAAATCATTAAAAAGTATAGATATTTTTCAAGACCTTCATTTATATTTTTTAAGATCTCTTTCTTAACATTGGAATTTTTAAGCACTTTATTTAATTATACATGCACACGTTGAGGTCATTTACATGTATCTTTTTATAAAAGAGAGCAGATGAAGAGTGCGTAGGTGAGCAACTTTATGAAAGCAATTTATAATAAGATCATGATTTCCTATTTCCTAACGTATTATTTTATCATTTTATTATTAATTTCTTTTAACTTTGTTTCATTAATATATTTTATTCTCTGTGAAATATTATTAAGTCTCCAACCTTTTTTAAATAAATATAATTTGTTGAATTCAATTACAGATTGTAACTTAATGGTAATAAAATAAAATTAATGAAAGATTGGAGATTGGCAAATTTAATCAAGTTCAATGAGTACAAAAAAAAATATGCTATTTTTACCAACTTTTTGCCAAGTAAGTGTAATCAATAAAATTGTCATAGCAATTTTAAAAGTAAACAAGTCGTATGATACTAATTATAAGAGTGAGCTCGATACAACCCCTTTTATCATTTCTAGATATTAACGTTGATGTTTTTGTATTTTTATTGTTACTCGTGTAATGAATCTAATTGTCATAAATGATCACAAATATAAAAGAAGAAATACAAATAAAAGATACACACACAGACACATACACACGTATGAGCAAAATTATTTATTAATCTCTATTGAAAATCGTATTTAGTTAATCAATTTCAATTAAATTATTTATTTTATTCAGATGCAACGACGTAGAAAAGAAATAAGGAAAATAAATAAGCAACGTGATACACTATCTATTTACAAGCAGCTATTTTTTACTTATCGATTTTCCTAGAATTTTTCGTTTCACCTAACATGTAACGTATATATAAGTAAACAATTATTAATAGATTATCATACTCCATTCTTTTTTTACTTTTACTTACATGCTAAACAAGCAACTATCTTCTGTATTTCTAAATTTTCTAACCTCCATTCTTTTTTTAAATTTTCTTTACTTTATTTAAATATAATAACACAGATATTCATTCTGTATAAGTGTTCCAAAGAAAATAAAATTAACCTTTGCGTGAGATATTGTATGATAATTATAAACTACATTTAATTATATACAACGCATTTCTTGAATACAAAAATACTTATGTACATATATAACCTTTCTATATTAATAAAATGATATATTGTACACATACAAATATATAAGTATCTCAATTTTAAATAATTAAAAATTATTCTTCCATTATTACACATACATGTACATATGTATAATCTTTTCAAATTCTTTTCTCTTTTTCCGTAATAAACCTATCCTCTCTCTAATCTAACACAAAAACACTTACAACTCCCTTTACACCAAAGATTCAAAGCTGATAGAAACAGTCGACACGCAAATATCATTCAGACTCGACGAATTTGGCACCACTTGTCGAAGAAGTCATCACCAGAAGTTTCATTCCTCGACTTTGTCCGTTTCCGTTAAAAATAATCGCGAAGCAGAGCTATAAATAGAATTGGGTATGCATCAAACGTGATACAGCGATTGCACAACGCTCGCCCATTCCGATTATGGCCAGTTATTTTACCGCCATCCTTGCGGTTTTCCGTTTTATCGTGACGTTAGAAAAACGGCAGTGACGTCACTGGACCCACTCAGCCGATAGACGGAAGTCGGCGAAGCGATAAACATATTTATTAAGTGTGTTAAGAGGGGACCTTTGCCGTAACCCGAGGCGTTCTTGCGCTCAAAAAACGTTCATTATTATTATATATTCGCGATCTCCCTCTTTTTTTTCTTTTTTTTTTACCTTCAATCATTCGCCTTGTAAAAATTGTATAAAGATTCCTCTTTGAAACGCTCCGGTCGCCACAACGTGACATTTCACGGGTTAATCAACAAACAGCGGGATAAAGTGCAGGGTGAATTTTGATAGCGATCCAAGTGTGGAGGAATGTTTGATAAATAGACGGTAAAGATGTCCATTGTCTGAAAATATAAAAATAATCTGTAATGACAGTTCAAAGTGATGTGTCAATTTTAGAATAAAGAAGGAGTATTGTATTGCTTGTATTATTAGACTCGAAAATGTATGAATTCTTTGTACCTCTTAAGAAAGCTATACATTTTTGTATCATAAAATAGCATTTTATCTTGTAATAATTGAAATGAGAATCACCTGTTTGGGAAATTTAATTAGTCAAAAAAATGATCTCAAAATTCACTATAAGTGATTTAAAAAATTGGTATAAATAACAAAAATAGAAAAGAAAGTTGTAAAATTATTTTAATCATTAAATTCTTTTCAAATTAATTTAATATTTTTATAACTTCCTTTATGAAACTACAGATACGGATGTTCTAAAATTTGATAAACAAATATATATATATATAATTATAATCAACATTATTATATTCTATTAATAAAACACTCTATAACATCAAGTACTAATTTTGATGGCTAAAATATCATGTTATTATATTGTAAAAATATCAGCAAATTCTTTTCTGCAAATGCAATATTTTCTAATTTTATTTCAACATTGATGCTGATGAATATTATAAATTTTCTGTTTCTCTCTTTTTTTTATGTTATTACACGAGGACTTTTTATATTCAAATTTACATGATTTCGACATTCTGTTCATTTGTTTTTGACTGAGAACAATGCAATGAAGTG